TCTTCAATTGTGTTTACTAAAACTTTTTCCTACTTGAGAATTACACAAACGATACAATTGCCCAGTAGACCATGCTTCTGAACCACAAAAGATCAAGCAAAGCAGAAAGAATATGATACAATATTAATTCAAAGAAATCCTTCTTTCAATCCATTCTTCTCCTCTTCAAAGTCTACATATGTCAGGGTTCGGCACGAGATGGCTTTCAGAAAATGCAAACAATAAGTCCCCTGACTTTCGCAAAATTTTACGAAGTTCCCTTTGATTCCTATCCAAATTACCCGAATCGGCTGAAAAATCGAAATGTCCACTAGAACATCTAATTTCGGATCCACAAAACGATATCCCCTTTGCTTTCTGTCCCAGAAACGATATCTAGCTTGCTTATACGCCACCTGTGCCGAACCTTGTTCTATGCCTTTGATTATTGCTTAGAATTTCCCTTTCTTGATCTCGGCAAAATAAATGTGTCGTTATACCCCTATGATATCGTGATTAACCAAATTAGAGCTCAAACCACTGAACGTTGAGTAGACCAAATCGCCGGTCGTCTCATGGGAAATGATAGGTGTACTACTACATATGTACCTGTAAATTATGTCACCTATTCTTAGTAGTGCGTCAAAAAAAGACATACAACGTGATATTTGGAAATGACTTACCTTTTTAGATTCGGATTTACTTGCCGAGGCATCTTCACTGTGAAAATGGCCAAAATTACAGACTAGCGCTTTCTTGAAACTAATAGTCATAACTATCATACAAATGTTAGTTCCAACTAATACAGCCTACGATGATGTGGCTCTATAGGATGACGAGATCATAATTACGGGTCCATAGATTGCGCTGGCAAATCAAATTTGAGGAACTGTAATCAGTAGATGAACAACAGCTATAGCGATAAAAAATCATCCTCGCATCGTCCTCATTCCTCATCGTTCCTAGAGGTGCCTTAGGCCTAAGGCATACCTCGCGCGATTCCGGTCGCTGCGCGATTTGGCACAACAGCGACTCTTCGTAATTCGTCGTTAATGCGCTGTCTTTGGTCAGAACTTGCTTCATTTGCAACAACTTATACAAGCTACCCAAATATGCATCCGAGAAGCGCGCACGATAAATTTGTAGAGATCTGGCAAATCGCCAAGTCGCGGGAAAGCGGCGATTCGGCCGAATCGCGTGAGGCCTTAGAGGGCTGATTACTGAACTCCAAATAACCCTTTAGAAGACAAGTGTTCAGTGGTACTAGGCGCCTCTGTGAGCAGGTCGGATCAAATTTCGCTCACGCTCCGGGGTGATAACTAAGCAACTAAGCCCTCTATCCTCCGGAATTGTTGAATTGGTAGTAAAGCAATTTGAGAGGATGGAAGTACTGTCTCGATAATCCGCTGGCCCCTGCAAAACCATTGTAAAGACCTGCACGCCTTCAAGTGCCTCTTTAACTTCTAGATGGAATTCGTTTGACGCATGCCCTTAGAGGGCATGTATAATAGAAGCCAATTTCTTTATTTTTGTCCTTCAATCATATTCTGTTATTTTTATCTTAAAAGAGATTCACGGGAATCCAGCACAAGAAGTCGGGTCTTGTAAACAAAATGCTTTCAAATTGGCTTACAAAGAAAATCGCATCGTGAAGGTTCCATCATATAAGGTGAAAACAACTCCTTTACCCTTTCACACCAGTCCTTTATGTGAAAGAATGAAGCAAACTTTGAAGTTGTTATTGATTTCATTCATATAACACATTTATGGAAATTTTTGTAAAAAGCGAAAGCTTAATGATAAGGTAGAGGATATAGCCGTACTGTACCACATCATCATGACGCGAAGCTTTTTTCTCACAAATTTTGCTTATTTTGTTCTTATACTTTATAAGTACTTTATTTTATTTTTATACTTCTATACTTTATATTATACTACTAGCTGGCTTACCCGGCTCCGCCGTATGTTCCGAATAGAAAATTCCATTTCTTAACCGATCCGGACCAAACTTGGCACACATACACTTCGGGCCCCGGCGGGTGTCACAGTCCACTTTTCGTTATCGATCGATGTCGATTTTATCGATTTTTTGCAAAATTTGAGCTAGTGGGCAGAGGGGTGTAATCGAGCATGCTGATCACCCCCACGGGGGTGATCAGCATGCTCGATTACCCCCCTGTGCCAACTCCCAGCCCCGTAGCTCAAATTTTGCAAAAAATCGATATCGATCGATACGAAAAGTAGCCTATGACACCCGCCGGGGCCCGAAGTGTATGTGTGCCAAGTTTGGTCCCGATCGGTTCAGAAATGGAATTTTCTATTGGAACATACGTACAGACAGACAGACAGACATACATACAGACATACAGACATACAAACAGACATTTAGCATTATATATAAGATAATACATATAAGTACACTTATTGAGGAGCAGGGCTCGGCACAGGTGGCTTGTAAGCAAGCTGGGTATCGTTTTTGGGGCAAAAAGCAGGTCGAGGGTCAAAGGGGACTTCGTAAAAATTCCCAAAAGTCAAGGGGGACCTCGTTTTTTCTATTTTCATCTAGCTACCTGGTGCCGAGCCTTGTTTAGGAGACGCTCAAAAAATGGATACTACAATGCGTACCAGGTAAGCACGCAGCAACTGAATTCTGCTGCTAAAAATCTAGCCTTGCATCCAAAACCTTAGATCCAAAAAATACCACCGAACGTTGTCGAAAACTTTGATTGTAAAGCGTTGTTTGAAAAATTGTACGTCTTATGTCCAAATTAACGAAGTACGGTGGGTTTTGCGTACTTCGAGTAACAGATCACTTTCGACTTCTGAATTTGGCAGGTGGTACTTGAGCGATATGGTTGAACCACGCGTACCTGGAACTGTTTCAACTACCAGTCGTCCCCACTTTGCTTATGTCTATATGGGGCAGATATGACCGTCGACTCTAGGTGATTTACGATTTATGCTCTTCTGATCTTTCTCATCAAAGCAGAGCTTTGCATTTGTCTAGGAATGAGCCGCATCTGCACAGATCACTATTGACGATGTGGGAGGTGTAAGCATCGAGAGCATCGAGCTTGTGTGTGTGTCCATTAGGTCTAGACTCTGCATTGTGATGTGAATGCCATAAGACAAAAGGCGTTTGATTGGTAATCTTCCTCTGTCACACGCGACTACCCGATTACCCGTTGCTAAGGCCCCTTTCCAGCCCCCCGGTATCGATCTGCCGCCTACTGTACTAAACTCTCGGGTAATAGATATGTCGTAACTACCTTTCAGGTGTTCTCCCTCGAAGCCAACGTTGCTCAAGCGCCGCAACTGCCTTCATTTGCATAGATCATGTGGAAAGTAGGAGTTTTACTCCCATAGTTAATTTCTCACCCTCTCAGGTGGTCCCTAAGGTCTTTCATAACCAGTAGTGCATGCAACTCGATTATGATAGTTCACCGTGTAGTCCTTAACTATATGGTTTCACTGTTACTCAGCGTGATAGGAGGAGCTGAAAATAGGGCAAACGAGCTTCTCAACTTCAGATGCATAGCGCATACGACTTGCTTCTACTTGTTGGTAGTCAATTTTTTTCTAAATTTGAAGTTTCTCGGAGGCAAATTGGCTCCACGCCATCTCTTAAAATTTCGGGAGTATGAGCCAAAATTTATGATAGAACGTAACATAACACCATGCCCCTTCATTTGAAGAAATCATAGCGCCTTTGACTCCACAAAATGGACAGCCACTATTAAAGAGCTAATAGTCGAAATCATAACGTTATAGGTGCTGTTTTCTTGGTAGTCTGAATCTATTTGAGACACACTCCGTATCAGGGCCCGGCACGAGCTGCCACTAGTGAAATTTCAAAAACGAAGTTCTCTTTGGTCTTGAAAATTTTGTACAAAGTCGTCCCTTTTGATCCTGAGTCCTAATCGTATAAAACCCCAAAAAACGAAACGACTAAAAAATCGTTGCAATTTTTGTGTCTTTTCGGCCACAAAAACGATACCCAGCTTGACCCGGTGCCAGTCGTGCTGATCCCTGTCCCGTATTACTATTATACAGATATTATAGAATACCGTTATCTGTACTACACTCCATTTTACCTCCATGTATTTTTGTTAACACCTCCTTCTCTCTCTCTCTCGATTAAAAAATTTACCTTCCCATTTTTTACAATATGTTTCCCACTTTTGGAGAGGTGAAACCTTTCAGAACTTCCCCTTTGGAACCAATCTGGAGCAATCGTTTTCGCGATTCTTAGCGGATTTCATTATTGTATTCTTTGTAGTATCAGACGTCACAAGCTATTTTTCATGATTGCTCACCATAATATAAAGTCTTGGCCACCTTTTTTGTAGATTCAGCTTGATGCTTACCGATTACCGTCAGACTTTCGAACCATCCTACTTGAAGCTTCGATGCAAGTTAGCGTTTTGCTACTTTCCTCCTAAGGCCTCGGACAGAGTTCACGCGATTTGATCGCTACCAGATAAGTATTACAAGTTCATTGCATGCCGATCTTCTTGTACTTCTCTTGTGATAGTTAGTCACCATTGGTCGTGTTGAAAATTTCCACAACTGAAATGAAAGAAGATCAACATGCAATGATATTATTACAGTTGTCTTGTCGGATCAATCCGACGATCACATCGCGTGAACTCTGCCCGAGGCCTAAAGGCTCCAAATTTCTATCCTAGACTTCTAGGTGTTCATGATAACAAAATGTGGACATGATTCAAGTTACAGACTAGAAAAATGTGTCATTTGATAGTTCTAATACTCAGTGTTCTTAAACCATGATACAAACAGATAATTGATAAACAGAATATGATACAAGATAATAGATGTGCATCATCTATTTCCGACGCGCAAATGTGATTGGCGGTAAAAACTGCACTATTGTCCTTCGAAAAGCAAGCAAGCAAGTACTCTACTAAAATTATGTAAATACTTTTCTCTGGAAAAAATCGCATCTTACACGCTTAAAGATGACACATTTAGTTTAGTTACTTCTATATTCTCATTCAAACATGCGGGATTACAAACGGCGCTCAGGTAAGCCTGAATTATAGAAAGTAAAACTTTTTGTGGTTTTTAGAGTCTAGATCTCAGGTTAGCAGCCAATCCTCTCGAGATAAAACTTTTGGAAAATTTTTATCATTCACATTTTCCAATGTTAGAATTTATCCGATTTAGCATCTACAAAAGATCGGAATTCATGTGCTTTCCACTGGGTTGGCGCAAAAATAGAAATTCAACGTGTTAGAAAACTCAAGTTTGTTTTTGCATCTCGGTGGTCAAGTCTCTAAAAAAGGTCCTACAGATTACATTTTACATAACGCGGTTAAAAATCCCACACTTTTCATTCAATGTAAGAGCTGTGCTTGTCGGTTGCCTCTACTCTTTGGGAGTACCTTTGTTACACTTTTTGATCGAAACTTCTAAAATTTGTAATGAGAATTAGGTTTATTGTAAGTGAAAAAAGTGCGTAATGACAATAATATCAGGAAATATTGGGACGAACTTCCTATGATGTTTGGTGCAAGACATATAAAAAACCCTGCGGGATATAATACGAGATTTTGTCAAAATAAGACTGTCCAGAGTGGTTCTTGTGCTGGAGCTGTGCTAGCGCCGTGTCAGTGCCGTACCAGCGTCGGATCAGTGTTAAATTGTCTCCGTGCTGAAGCTGTGCCGGAATCAACGCGTGCTTTGAGGGACCGAAATTCCAGCACGGCAGGCAGGCACTGGAACAGAGCTGGCACGGCACTGGAACGGGCTGCTTCCGCACACATTCCAGTAACTGTTCAGATTAGAGAGTCGTAATGGGAAGCCTGCAAATCATCTCCGTAAGCGCAAAGTTTAATTTTGAAAGTACATACTCCTCAGAAATCATACAGATGTCCAGTGTGTGAGGGTGGAAAAGTACAGTGTCTGTCACAGAATTAGATCACAGTCACCTAGACGATGTACTCATCTCATTAGCTCCACTTCTTACGTCTCCCCCCTCCCCCCTACTCCTCGCCCCCTCTGTTAATGGTCAAGTATTTTCAAATTCCTTTTGATTGATGTCTGGTAGCCCTTTAACTTTTTGAAGTCATCTAATAAAATTTTCCCCCGTGTCTGAAGTCACGCCCGTCACAAATTCCATTACTTGATTTCAAATTATTCGTACCACCTGTTCTCAGCCTCGACTATGCACTAACTACCTGAACTTTCTTCTCTGCCCTTGTACTTCTCATGCAACTTTCGATTAACGCAATTGTAAGCACCTTCGGGCGCTCAGTACTCTGTCCTTTAAGCTCGTCGTGGATTGCCTATGTGCATTACTAGCTCCATGGTAATCGTTCTTATCAACGTTTCTCCGGTAAAATTCATTAGCAGACCTCGTTCTAGAAGCTATTTCACCAGAAAACGGCCAATTCGCCTCACATGCTCTTACGTACGACTTTTTTTGTGCTGGGGGAATGTAGTTTCTCCGTAAAAACTTCTCATCTACTTATGTGACGTAGCTTGACAATTTATGTGGTACAAATACTTACTCCGTCTCCAATCTGCAAGTCGCTACCACCAAGATTGCTCGCGAAGAAACCATCCAATACTGTTTGATGTGCTTTGTTACACAATTGACGCCTAATATAGCCCTTGCGGTGACGACAACTGCTGCGCGTAAAAATTGTCCGTAGAGCGCACATTTTGAGGTTCATACATGACCATTTCCTGCGCGCATCCTTGTCATCAGGACGGGCACGCTATATAAAGTATAATATGTATATGAAAAATAATCGCATGCATGCGGCGTGTGCGGTCTTGGCTGACTGCGTATCCTCCTTCAAGTTCCTCTCCGAGATGAGCGTCGACTACGGACCGCATCGCAACAGTGGACGCAATTGCGCATTGTCTGTAAAACTTGTGAAGTCCGAAATATCACAAATACTTCCACTCTGACTCTTCCATATTAAAATTCATCTCATCACGTCAATTACCCTTTGATTTAACGAGATTGACGGCTAGAAGGCGGCCGCTCGCGCCCGCGACGCAGTTCAGTCTGCGCTTTACTCGAGGACGTGTCCTCTGACCATTCCCTAGCGTTGAGTAGGTCTCGAAGTCCCGCTTTCAAGCGGCCAATCCCTTTAAGTAGGGTACAATTTTAAACCAAAAATTAATTCTGAGCGAATTTTCCTCTAAGCTTGTACATCAACTTCTCTCGATGTTCCCTATTTGTTTCCCCCCGAACGGATCATTCTTTTTTCTTTTTCTTTTCTTTAGTTCCTCACAATCAGTTGCAGCCTTGTTTAACGAATTAATCTTATATATAAAGCTGAATGTCTGTCTGTATGTATGTATGTCTGTCTGTCTGTACGTATGTGCGGAATAGAAACTTTTATTTCTGAACCGATTTGGACCAAACTTGGCACACATATACTTCGGGACAGGGAGCGTGTCATAGGCTACTTTTCGTTATCGATCGATATCGATTTTATCGATTTTTTGCAAAATTTGAGCTACGGGGCTGGGAGTTGGCACAGGGGGGTAATCGAACATGCTGATCACCCCCACGGGGGTGATCAGCATGTTCGATTACCCCCCTGTGCAAAATCCCAGCCCCGTAGCTCAAATTTTGCAAAAAATCGGTGAAATCGACATCGATCGATAACGAAAAGTGGACTATGACACGCTCCCTGCCCCGAAGTGTATGTGTGCAAAGTTTGGTTCCGGGCGGAGCCGGGTTTGCCATCTAGTTCTTAATAAATTCATGCCTCAAATATCTGGAGTTTATGGTAAAATCCTAAAAATCGATTGAATCGATTTCCCAAATTTTTCTTTGAAATACAACAGTCCGTACCTTTCTTTGACAATCGTTTTTCATTATCGTTTCTTTTTCTATTAATCCTATTATACTCTTCTTTCCAGACTGTGCTTTGCTTGATGACGCACTAATCCGCTTCACAGGTTGGTTGGCATTTCGATTTACCAAAAAAAATATCGAAGCATCTCCATATAAAACACGAATGTGTGCTTTATTACAGAGAGATGGGATCTTGTCAAAGTCAAGAAAATCAAGAATTGGCTGCTAGGAACAAACAAATTGAAAAGCAAATCAATCAAGATAAACGAGCTGGCTCGAGTATTGTCAAATTACTGCTTCTTGGTAAGAAGATTGCAAATTTTGCTGCTTTATAGTTTCTGCCAAAATTTATTGATTATCTACCACGGGAGCCATCCGTAGGTTGGTAGAAAAATGCATAAGCCGTTCAGCATCGTTCAAACTTTTGTGGGTGCCGATGCTGTGCCAACGCCATGCCAGCGCTGTGCCGGAACACATATGCAGGCGCCCATCGTTGATCGATTTTTTGGCACGGCGCTAGCACAGTGCGGGCATAGGCGGCGCAGGCAACTACAGCTCCTTGCGCGAGCCTACTGTCCTTTTCGCACATGATACTGTATACCAAGTAAGGATTATTACATAATTCGTGGGCGCGGCGACGAACGGAGCTATTTGCGCTCTACCAAGGTGGTCAACGAAATTTTAAAGTCAGTTTCTGCGACTGCAAAGTATTACGCTATGGCACTGGCACTAACAATAAGAATTTCGGGTGATAGAAGATCTACAGCTTGATGAGATATTTTTACCTAAATCTTAGTTTTGAATGGAAGAAGTTGGTAATTCACGGTCTCATGTTATCTTTCAAGCTTCATTTTTCATTGCAATCGCAGGAACAACGTTGTTTCGGAACTCATTTTATACACACGCTGTCTACTGTTCTAGTAAAGACCCATCTCTATTTGAAATGTCTGGCTGAGGCGAGTGACTCTACAAGTAACGTTTTAGAAAAGTTTATAAGCTTTACACATTTGAAATTTTCATCAAGTTTGCGAAGAGGAGAAAATTTAAACTAAAACCACAACTCATCAATTTTTGCATTCGCCAACCTAAATTGCTCATTTTCGGCTTGAAGAAGACGGAGAGAAAGAGAGGATGACACACACTGCGCGCTGAATGAACTGCACTTTTCTTACTGTCATCAATGGCCAATTATGGTTATTCAGAGGAGCTTCAGCGCTGCATAGCTTCTCCTTTAGAAAATCATGATCTATCTTGTCTCCTTTGGAGATAGGGCAGCTTAGGAAGGGAGTGAAACAAAAAGTTGATGATTGTTGGAGCTCTGTAGAAGGTACTTAGTAGATGTAACAGTGATTTAACGTATAAAAATAATGCAAGCAACATTTGTCTCCCAATTTGTTTACAGAACACACATGAAGTAATTCATTGATCAAATTTTTCAATTTCATTCAATTCCGCGAAAACATTAAAAACAAACAACACAGAAATATGACTCGAATATTATGACATCAATCTCGCTGTCTTTAGTTCCGTAATTTTGTAAGTTATCATCTCAATCTTTGTCAATCGAATTTATCACAGTGTAATTGAAGGAAAAAACAATTATCACAAAAAGTCAAAGTTTCGACTTTCTCTTACTCGTCGAGTTTTGAAAGCTTTGGGTATCCTGTGCCCTTTTCCAACCCCTGATTAATGGAAGTGAGGTGAAAATCAAAATCGTTCAGGCATATTATTTCAGTAATTTGACAAGCATAGGACCATGTATCTCTATGGCATGATAGAATCTCATGGTTTTTTTTTACCTTGACCTTAACTACGACACAACAAACCCATTATATTTTTGCCACATAACCACGCAAAACTCTTTTTTTACCATATAAATGCTTTTTTAGGTGCTGGTGAATGCGGTAAATCTACCGTGCTCAAGCAAATGCAGTAAGTCTTTTTTCAATCTATATCTTAGTCTTTTCTTACTCAACGTTTTGCAGAATTTTGCATAGCAACGGTTTCACCGAAGAAGAAATCAACGAAAAAAAGGCTATTGTTTATAATAACGTGGTCACATCAATGTGCACGATACTGAAGGTATACGAGTATTTTCACATTCCTTTAAATATATTTATTTGCTTGCAGGCGATGGACAACGTCTTGCATATTCCTCTAGAAGATGGTGAAAAAGAGGTAAAGTGTTTTCGTGTTTTTTCTCAGCTGTGAAAAAAGTCAGAAGTCTTTGCGTTTTTTCTCGAATTTTCTTACATGAATTTGTAGCTTTTGCAATTTCCCCCTTTCTCAAGATTTTGTATGAGTGTAAAAAATAGAAATCAAGGTGCATAGAATGCAGCGGGATGCAATTTGTACCCGTTCCCTTGCGAATAAAAGAAATCAAAAGTCGTAATCATGTGTCGCTTGGCTGACGTAACAGAACAGAAGCAAATCTTGCACGAAGTGACTTTTGGCCGTGAGAATCAACTGTAAGATGGAAAGTGACAGATTCCTTTTAGTGGAAAATATGAGGTCGGAAAAAATATGAGCTATGAAAGTTCGTTCGTACCATTTTCAGAAATTCACAACTTGCTTCTTTTTCAACCGATTTGGATGTAATTATATCTTTTGAAAAGTAAAGTTTGCTCTTTACAACATTGTCTTGAAAGTTTTTAAGGAGCGTGCATTGCATAGATAGAAGCCGTGAAGGAAAATACTCATATTTTGATTTTCTGTGTTGTTCACAAAACAATCTGAAACTTGCAGTGAAAATCGGAGTAGTCTTAGCATAGGTTTTATTACTTGCTCCTTCTAACCAATGTGCTAATTGAACTTCTTTATGAAGAGTTATGATTTTTTGGTCGAGCAGTATAAAACAGGAAATTCGATTTTTCGACATTTTTTTCCGAAAATTATAACTTTTCATAGAGACGTTCAACCAGCACAAACCTTGCTTGGTTAAAAGAGCAGGCTTATAAAACCTTCAATACCAAACTTCGATTTTCACCGCAAATTTTACGTCCAAATAGAGAATAATCGAAATTTGCGTGATATTTCTGCGCAGCTTTTATCTATATCAATGTATACTTTATAGAAAGGCTATAAAACGTATAGTGAAAAGCATGACTTCATCTCTCAAGCAAAAATAATGTACAAAGCGGTTGAGAAAAACAAATTATGAAATTTTGAAGGTGCGAACGAACTTTTGATTTAACTTGGTCGAGCCAGCACGGCATTCTAGAATAATACATCCTGCTCTAAATTTGTTAATTAGAGATTTGACTCACCACTTTGCTCTAATCCTTTAATTTTTTTCTCAAAAACGCGTTTTCGCCTTACACCACGTTGAAAATTCTCTTCTTCTTCAGAAGGAGAAGGCCATTGTGCTACGAGTACAAGAAATGGGCGAGGAAAATGAGGCGCTGACCGACGAAGTGTCAAAAGCTATTCAGTCATTGTGGTAAGTCTCATCCTTTTTCCGTTTTGTTGAAAAGAAAAACACCATACTTTGATGGCTTGCTTGGTTTGATGGTTTTCTATGCAAAAATTACCTTTAGTGAAAGTCTTGTTTATTCATATTCGAACAGCGTGCTTTTCTCCCAAGTGAAGATTCACGAGGAAAAACATCAATTTCATCTCTGATGCCTTGTTAATTGATTTCATCAAAATATTGATTTTTAAGAGTGACCAGTGTACCTCAGTCAGTCACACGATATCGCAAACTCAACTATGATTGAAACTTTCTTTTCTGTTGATAAATTTTCAACATTCTACAAACTGATGCGTAACTACGCGGAAGTCACTGTGCCCTTCAGTGATATTTTTCAAAAAAAAGTGTCTATTGTCCGATGTGTTTTTCGCAAATATCAAAGTGATTTAGTAACGCAATATTATATTGTGAGATCTCGTGACACTTTTGCAGGTGGAAACTATTGAAATATTCATTGCCACACAAAAACCTTGACAAGACTGAATCTAGACTCTATCGAAGATTAAAACAATCACTACAGCTGAAAGATGAGATAATGGTCACAAACAATTTTTTGTGTACCTAATTGTTATTTGATTATATATTGCGCATAAATCAGCCGTTATGATTCAAGTTTGTTACAAGTTATTTCACTGAAAAAATTCCAATAGATATTCTGTTGTAAGTTAAGCCCAGTGTTGCATGAAGATTCAAAGAACGTTTTGAATAATTCGCTCTATTCTTGCAAACTGATTTATTAAAAAAGGTCACTAAATTATTTGACATTATCAACAAATGTCACTCACAAATGTCATGTACCATTTACTACACTGAAGTTTTACTTTTTTTCATGAGGGAATTAAGCTTCAGCGGTACGGAGAACTTTATAAAAAAATATGAGATGATATCATGCTTTCATTTCCTATCTTCTTCTTTTTATTGTCTGTTGGAACTACGTCAGCAAAAATCATCGAAAAAATACATAAATGCATCCTTCTTGCTGGTATTTTATGCCAATGATTTAGTTAGAGTCTCAATATTGGCAGAAATTTCATCAGTATTTGTTTGAAAGGATTTTTGAGCTTTTTGAAAAGATTTGCATTTCAGGTCCGATCCAGGAGTGAAGAAAGCCTTTGAGATGCGTAGCGAGTACCAGTTGACAGATTCTGCCAAATAGTCAGTGATATTTTTCTTCTCCAAATCCTCGAATATGTTGTTCTTTACAGTTTTCTCGATTCATGTGCTAGAGTAAGTGAACCAGGCTATAGGCCTTCCGAACAGGATATCTTATATTCCCGAGTGGCAACGACAGGTGTTGTGGAAGTGAAATTCAAAATCAAGGAACTGGACTTCAGGTGATTTTCTCACTTTTCCATGCACTTGAGGACATCTGGGTGCCTGGCAACCTATTAAAGTAGGGTTGTTCTCAAATTTGTTCTCGTTTATTAGCACCTGTTCGTGTGGGAAATAGCATCAAAGTTCTTGATTCAAAGCACACTTTCACGACACAATCTCGCAAATCAACAACTTCAATCTATCGACCGTAATCTACCGTAATACCTAGATCTTGAGTATTGCAAATGTTACTATAATAAGGAAAAACCGTGGGCGGGTGCCCATCCACTGATTCACTTAGGAAAACACGCGATAGCCGTCACCATCAAGTAATTTGTTTTCGCAATTATGCACACATTCTGTGTAATGTGCTATAGAATCAAATTCTGACTTCATAGTCACCTAGGAAACGAAACGCGTGAAGACAATTCGGAACTAGGTTGTAAAAGCAAATACTAAAGAAGAGGACTCGTGGCTGTAATTGATTCTTCACAAACGTGGGAAAAAATTTGATACATATGACAATTTTTTCTACTATTTCTCTCATAGAGGGGCAGTATATCCAAAAAGAAAAATAAGCTAAAAAAGACTCATCATTCTGGTGACCGTCAGGTGAGTATACGGCATACATGATGTTGATTGACTTTTTTTACTTAATGTTCAGTAATTAATTTTTTTACAAACATAGCAAAAAAGCTTGGTAAAAATGACGGTTTTTCCCTGATGACTTTCCTGTAGAGGGGAATATATCCAAAAATTGAGCTAAAAAGTCCCATTTTGTTGACCGTCAAGTGATCTGTTCATACGGTAAACATAGCTCAGTTGACTTTCTTATCTTATGAACAGCCTACGAATTGAGATATGAATAAAGAATCAAGGATAAGCTAACAAAATAAATTTTGGGTTGTCCGGAAAATGTCGCTTTTTATTTTAACACGCAAAATCGTGGCAGGGTGAGCATGAAAGTGAGTAAATGGGGTACCAACCGATAGATCAAAACAAGCTCTACAAAATGAAGCTCGAGCCTTTGCGCCAGGTTTGATTTGCATGAAGTTTGAAGCTAAATTTCACAAGGCACTAAGGATCTAAAAAAACGAAAAAAATCGTATCTCTGTTCAGAGAAGTCCCAGAAACCCCTAACTTGCTCGCGCGTGGACTCACTATACGAGACACACATATGCACATTTTCGCGGTTTTTCCAGGGCTGAAAATTGAGAAAACGAAATTCGGCACATTTTTGCAAAAAAAACTTGAGTTCAAAACAAGTTCAAAACAAAACTTGAGTTCACTCAAATTTATTGCTGAATAGCTCACTTTTATATAACACAAGATTCTTCTCAAAATGAAATGACATGAGCTTTGCAGACGATCAGTCACCGGAAATTGCGCAGAATGTTTGGGAAAGCTCCGCCGGTCACCTGCGAAAGTTGCTGACTCTAAACAGTCTAAGGGCCGCATGCACTAACCTCCCCGCTGGGGAGAGGATCGCAGCTCAAAAGAAAGCTTTATATTTCGGAACTCCAGATACCTGGATTTCACGTTGTTTACCTATCCGTAGGTATTCCTACTACCCTTCACAATGAACATGTTGAAGAGGAGCGAGAAGCTGTACGAACCGCATTTTCCAGCTTTTGTATGATCTCTGATGATCCCCGGCGCTTTTCTTCAGTCATTTTTCTTTCTCCGAAGTTAACGAAAAACCTCCAAGGTTGCGCGTATTATCTAATCCGACAGTGCTAAGCATGTTGTGCTGATAAGAACAAATGAGTTTTTGAAAAGTCGAATTTTCGGTAAATCTCAAATTTCGACCTGTGGATCATTGAAAATCTCATGACTTCAGAACATCATTTGTTCTCATCAGCAACATGCTTAGCACTGTTGTGTTAGATGTTCAGTACAACTTTGGAAGGTTTTCGTTAACTTCGGAGAAAGAAAAATGACTTTAAAGAAAAGCGCCGGTAACCATCAGGGATCATAGAAAAGCTGAAAAATGCGGTTCGTACAGCTTCTCGCTCCTGTTCAACACGTGCATAGTGAAGGGTAGTAGGAATACTTACGGATAGGTACACAATGTGAAGTCCAGGTATCTGGAGTTTTGAAATATAAAGCTTTCTTTTAAGCTGCGATCCCCTCCCCGCGGGGATGTTAGTGCATGCGGCACTAAGAAAAATCCACGGAAGTACCCATCTAGTAAATTCACCGGAGATTCCGCAGAATGTTTGGGAAAGCTCCGCGGTCACCTGCGGAAGTTCCCGTTTTCAACGTTTTCACTTTTCTAATGCGTAGTAAATAGATTCCTGCGGAACCGCATTTTGCTTGTCCTGCGGAATCTCCGGTGAATTGTTTGAGTACGTATCTAGTCTCTGCGCCATTTCTTTTCAGTGACTTTTGAAAAAAGAAAATTAGTTTTTAATGTTTCAGATTACTGACTGTCTCACTTTTAAAATGCATCTTCAGAAAATAAAATTTTATCCAAAATTTAAATCTTTTTCTACATGATAAGTCCCCTTTATTTCAAATAACGAAAAGTTTGCAGAGTATTCGACGTGGGTGGTCAACGTTCCGAAAGAAGAAAATGGATCCACTGCTTTGATAATGTAGAATCTATCATTTTTATTACGGCTATCAGTGAATATGACCAAGTGTTATTTGAAGACGAAACAACGGTAAGAGCAGCGTCTGAAAATGAAAGAGCACTCATAGTTAAGAATTACATGAAAACCGAAATCCTTTAAATCTAATCTTGAAAATTAACAAGATCTCGAACCGTAAATATAGACCGACATTGAGAGTGGATAAGATGAAAAAATACATTGCTCCTTCAAAGTAAAAAACAACATTTTTATATGGACTGAAAATTTGTTTACGAATTTACAGTAATACGATTTCAGAACCGTATGATAGAATCTATGCAGTTATTCAATTCGATTTGCAACAGCACTTGGTTTTTAGCTACAGCAATGATTTTATTCTTGAATAAAAAGGATCTCTTTATGGAAAAAATTAAAAGGGTCAATATCACGACAGCATTTCCCGATTATGAAGGTAAGGATAACCTTTTTGGACTTTTACTTTAATCATCAACAACCGCTAGGCAACAAAAACATTGTAATGCACGATAAAATACCTGGAGTGATTCTGTTGAACTACATTAGAATAGCCAACTGAGCACATCTAGAGTTTGAATAGAAGCACAAAGACATCGGAGCTGCCAATGAATGCGGACGAGAGAAGAAATGAAACTGAAAATATCACTAGCTGCGGAGGAGCAAAAGAATTCCTATCCTAAGGCTCGCAAAAACTTTGTAGGGATCCATCTGATTCACGGAAGTATAGTTTCAATCACAGGGCTTAGCATGAGGTGGCTTTCCGAAAATGCAAAAAACCAAGTCTTTGACTTTCGCAAAGGTATCCAGCTTGCTCATAAGCCACCTGTGCAGAGCTTTGGACGATCAACAACTACATATTACGTTTTAAAAATTATTTCAAAAATAATATTATGTGAAAGCGTATCGGCCTTCAGAATCATACACCTTAATGATCTAGTTCGACCACAACGCTATCTCATGTACAAATTTTTAAGAAATTAAACTTTGCATGGCTTTTCTCTTGTGCTTTCAATTGGCTTGATCTCAGTCCGGTAAGCTTAGCGGCACTGTTTCACGAGACCAAAGGATGTTGAAGTGGCAATCTCGTCTCACTTTGATCTTCTGAGTCTGTAGCATTGCAGGGCTCGGCACGAGCTGGCACCAGGGAAATTTCAAAACGAAGTCCCGTTTGATATTGAAAATTTCGTACGAAGTCCCTTTTGACCTGTTTTGAAATCCCGTCATCAATTTTATATCATGTAAAAAAATGTAGTAGTGTTTTCATGCATTTCTGATTTCATGAAAGAACTTTTCACAGCTTTCTGAGCTTTTTAAGTGGTCGAATCACATCTTGAGAAGCAGAAAAAACCGATTTTTCGACTGCGGAGCGGACCGAGTGGTTTTCAATTTGCTATAAAACGCTGAAAAGAGAACATTATGAAACTGTTTCTTTTCCGTATGTAATCTTTTACAGTGTAGATACATTTTATGTAAAAAAGTATGAAAACTTATGTGAGCAAAGTGTCGGTGCCAGCTCAGCTGGCACCCAGCTGGCACGGTGCCAGCTAATTCAGAAAAAAGTTCGGCACGGCTTCCATTCACATAAGTTTTCATAAATTTTTGGTCCGTAGTTCCGGGTCCACCAACGCGCATGCACACACCAAATTTGGTGTCATACTATTGCGTTTTGGCTGAAAACAACGCCTTTGTTTGTTGATGGACAGCTTGCTAATGGCATGCCGGGGGCATGCCGGCGGCATTTTTGCGGCAGTTGTCCGCCTCGGTCCCTGTAGAAACGATATCCCCTTTGCTTTCCGCCCTAAAAACGATATCCAGCTTGACCCGGTGCCAGCTGTGCTAAGCCCTGACTTGGTCATTGAACTTTGGGTAACAATGCTAGTAGCATTGTTACCCAAAGTTCAATGACCAAGTTGATAAAATGAATTTCATCCGAAAACGAAAGAAAATCTGAAAATTGAAGACTATAAAATCTCCTAAATTAGCTTGCTAAACACTTCCACTTTGCTTACAGTCTTTTTCAAACAGCAGAAACAACAAATTCCTCAGCCTCTTTCCATCATCATTAAAGACATGTGGTAAAATCTTATTGGGCTGAGCAAATGATAAAAGTTTAACTGTTCTAATTTTGATCAAACTTCACACCATTCTATGGTACGAATAATTCATACAATCAGCCTATTTATTTGATCCAAGTAGAAGCATTGATTGTAGGAATCAATTGATCAAACAGTTTTCATTTTGGCTCTTCAGCAAAATCGAAAATAAGTGAATTATCCAAAAAACATTCAGTCTACTGTTGACAAAGTATCGAGTCATCCAATGAGATAAGAACAATAGTGTCATGAAGGAAGCATGCTTTGTTGTCCAAATGGAATTGAGGGCTAGCCTTTGCAAAAGGCATGGAGTTGTGAAATAAACAGAAGACGATCGGAAATAAGAACAACGACAAACCAGTTTTAAATTTTTTGGTTTTCGTCAGTCAGCGGAGAACTGAAACTTTTCGCGACAGGTTAAGCGCAATTGAGTTGCAAATCGAGCGTGCTCATGGATTTTCCATTAGTTTGCCTTTCAGTAAATCTGAATTATCTAAATCGCAGCTTAATTTCGAATCCGCTTACAAAGCAAATTCCCAATTACGGTATGTCCTGCGCAGTGACATGAAAAAAAATTGAAACGAGTCAAGATTATATTTCATTTCCAAACCCAGCTTTGTCCAGAAAATACTAGCTTGGTGCAAAAATAATAATTTTGCGAGTTCTCAATTTTACGTGCAATAACTTCCTAAGATAGTGAATTTTTCAATGCGATAAAAATTATCAGAAGCCGCGAACCTATCGCAATACAGCGCACGTTCATTTATACTCATAGCACGAACGGGCAGAAAATATGAACTTAAAAACAAAAGTTTTTTCTGAGACTTCGTTTTTGACAAATCATAACTCCTTCAAAGTTTGCTAGTTTAGATGATAAGTAATCTATCTTGTAGCCGAAAGAGAGCAATACTTATGAAGATAAATAGAGCTTGGAAGAAGAAGATTCGAAAAGAAAAAAAACTAAAACTCGAATTTGTCAGCTTTTTTCAACATTTTTTCATGGCCCCAAACTCCCAAATTAAGGAGTTTTTTGACTTTCTGCGTACTGAACAGCTAAAGTCATTGCAAAAACTTCCAACAGGCGGCGTTACACTTACGATTTCAAAAATGAGCAAAGCTTGCGAATTATCAGAAAATTATCAGAATGAAATCCAATGAAAATCCATGGGCCACCGAATGACCGCAACGACTACTCATTTGAGGTGTCGATATCTTAGCTTAAATGGCCTCTAAAACTGTGGCGGCGCGAATGTAGACAAATTCTACCACATGCAGTTAATTTCTGAAGAAATGCCATCCTTCGCGCTCAAATTCTAGCCGAAAGTAAATGCAATAAGATTTTAATTTTGAGTACGGTCATTTGAAGCCCTGTAATAAATTTCTAACGGATAAGGTTGGAAGCCAGCGTTAACCGATAATAGATAGAGCATGGAAGGGTTTCTCGTAGTATGCCAAATGTGTTCAGAAAAGATAGTTTCGTGGGGAACAAGTCCTGGAACAAGACCTTCAAAATCGATCATCATATTTACACCAATCTAATAAATCAAACTATGTGAGATAACAATAGTGATTTATTATAGTTAGATGATTGTTATCATATTTAACTAAATTGAAGCATTGAGACTGCTCATTCATTATAGAAAACCACTTACCCCTAAAAGAGAAAGTAAGCCTTAAGATTCACACGAATTGAGGCTGGTGTTTTTAATCAAAATAAGCTTTACGAAATTTTTATTTAACTTGATTTTTTTACAGCAATAAGTATGATCTATACATTTATGATAGGTTTCGCGGCATCTTTTGTTGAACATCAAGCTTCTTCACACCAATTGCAACCCAGGTGAAGCTTGACAAAATCAGTGATAATGAAGAAAATCGAAACAAAATTCCGATTTCTGGCAAATTTCTAAGGATCATCAGCATTACTCATTGCATTAAACTTTCATATAAGCAACTGCTGTGTATGTTCCTTACGAGACTATGTGAAATTTGACGTGTTTTTGCTAGATTGATGCTGGGAAGTTCTCAGATAAGTAATTTACAACACAAGGGTGCCGTGAATTTTTGACCTTCTTGACTCACCTACCCTCAGCGCTAGTTTTTGAAAAATACCGATTGTAGCATGAAAGTACGAAGAATGCAACATTTCCCATTTTTCATTGGTTTTTCACCTTTGCCCTTAAGAATGATACAGTAACTGTAGATACATGTGATGTCTGTTGTGGAAAGCATTTGCGCGAGCAAGTATTAGCCCTACAATTCGGGCAAAAAATGTTTTAACCTAAAATTTCATGGTATCAAATTTCCTATGTTCAAAAGCCAGCGTCAAAACTCTCTGTTGAGAGTTTGACCAAGAGTGGAGTCAATTTCTCTACTAGAAGGTGACTCCACCCTTAATCAAAAATTAGAGGTCAGCAAATTTTGAGTTTGAAAGATTATGTGGCTCATAGATGTTCTCAAGAATGTGATTTACGTACGACTCCAAGATAGGCCGCCTTCAGTATAAACCTCAAAGCCCATTTGATCAGTGGACACATCCCCAAGGAGTAACCTGTTCTTAACAAAAGCGTTGAGCTTTCATGGACAAACACATATTCATCTCTACGTTTATACTGATAAAATACACTTCTTTATGGTTTCAGTATACTGCGCACATATTCTTCTTATAGAGACAAATGACCTATAAAAGGCAACGAGCACTCAACACTAAATTTGCACTTTTCAGGAGGACAAAACTACGACGAGGCAGTTGCTTTCATCAAACTCAAATTTGCCGAACTGAATCTGAATCCCGACAAAAAGACGATTTATATGCATGAAACGTGCGCCACTGACACAAATCAGGCAAGTTACCTCTCTTAAAAAATGACAATTTAGTTAACTTTCATTGCATTTTTAGGTACAACTTGTCATATCCAGTGTGATCGACACGATCATACAGAAGAACCTACAAAAGGCTGGAATGATGTGACTGCAAATATCTTTTTTTCAAGATCATATCGCTCAATAGCAGTGTGAATCAGTTTTGTATTCAGAAACTTAAGCCTTTCGTTACAGATTTTATCGAGCTTTGAATGAATATTTGTACATATTTCATAATGTCCATTTTTTCTCACGATAAGAAACATTCAAAATGAGTTATAAGCCAGTCAACAACAGCAACAATTTGGCAACAACACATACAACAACAAGAAAAACAACAACAGAAGCTTAGAATGATCTAGCAAGAACTTCACTTCCCTTCAATGACTTGATAGAAACCAGATGACTTGTAGATATTCATTAGGTTATGTATCCTCTTTGGTGTATATTGAAACAAGTTCTTCGGATCTCTGGCCATAGCCTGATCGATAAAGTCATTTTCCACGTGCGAGAAGGTACAATTTCAGTAACCATTCTTACCTTGTAGTCCTCACCATAACGCAGGGCAAGGTAGATTAGCAGTTCAACATCCCTATCTGGTAAACGAACGGCTCGCGGCTGTGATTCTCTCTCAGCGAGCAGTTGTTGTGCCTCACTTTCCAGAGTCGAAACAACTTTGACGGCCTAGAAATTCTAAATCAACAACCATAATTTCAAATTAAATAAAGTGTGATGAAACATTGTAAATATTTGAGAAGCACCTTTTCCCATAAAAGATTCGGCAAAAGACTACTAATGCAGAACTTACACAATTCAGTAACTTATACTCATTTAGACACATATCGTGAAGTAAGCACTCAAATTCAGCCAGCGTCAGTTACATCGAAGAAAAATGGAGCCATAACATGATTATGGCAAAATTGGGTAAACATTCAACTGAACATAAGCGCAAAAATTCCTGAAAAACGAAACGAAAGATCTACCTTTTCCTTTCGGAGCACTGCGCGTCTTTCTTCTTCTTTCCTCAGCCGTTGTTCCTCTACAGTTCCCAATGCTCTCGCTTCAGCCAAATCCATTTCTTCCACAGGTTCCAGATCAATGATATCACGCTAAAGACAATAGTCAAGCGCTAGAAATAGACAAAGTGGGAGGTACAACTCACGTGAGGCTGCTTCAGTGGGACTGCTTCATTTGGACTGAATGCTAGGCCCATCTGCATAACATTTTCTCGTGGTGTTTTTGTCGTCTCCCAGTTCTCTTTGATGATTTTTCTGGAACACAGCTCCGTAATGGTTTCTGAGTGAGAAAATCGATCTACATAGCATACGTTACATTTCACAAGGAATTACCACTGGAACCCCTACCAATTCTCGATCTTACCTGGTATTCAGATTCAATATGTATAACAATGCTAGCAAGTGCTACAAGCGCGTTCCTTGAATTCTTACACGCTCCAAGGCAAAACTGCTACAGAAACCTAATTACGGAGACTGGGATGTCCGAAAACCAACTTCTCAGCGCAAGCAAAAGCCGCAATGGAAAGAACAACTTGAACGACTTCATGACTATAAACAATGGTCGACTACCACCTACATTCTTAATACAATACGTCTAAAATGGGGGAGCAAGCAGCGTCCAGCTTACCATAGTACTTGTACAAGGCTCCAGTATGAGGACCGTAGAGCTTAAAGGCGGTGTCCGGGCAAAAAGTCGATTTTGAGATTTTGTGCTTACCGGACCTAATCGCTATGCTAGATCCGAAAATTCTACACTGGAGAGCGCGAAAACGACGAAAAGGGGCTGTAACGCAGCATGGATAAAAAGTGGGCGGCGACTTTCCACGGTTAATTCACAGTCCCCGCTTCCGGCGCAATCTTCTCAAGTCACGCAGTCGCACTCGGCCTGTGGAGACGTCAGGATGGCTAGCGAAATTGAGAAGATCGCTCCAAAAGCTGGGACCGTGAATCACGGTGGGGAAGACCCCGCTCACTTCTGATTTCCCTCCTGCAGAAATATCTCCCACGGAATGGGTAGCGGCACCGCGGGTATGACATGTTCAAAGTTTGTACTCGGCGTGTAGACATGTGTCTCAGCTAAGTGAATTCACTTTCATGGGAAGCGCGAGAGACACCAAGTTCAAAGTCGATAAAGAGATCGAAGAAGTGTCAGGCTCTTCAACAGGCAATTGCTCTATCACGACTAGTGCCCAAGAAATCATCAGGTAAAATCATAAGGTAACTTGTGTTGGTACTTCTGCATAATGCTGATTACTCACACTGAGCTCTTGCATTTCTTCTTATTTTTCTCGTTTTGCCTGCGTTTCCTCGCTGTCTGGTTCAAATGCGGTCTGAACTTCTTCCCCTTCTTTTTGACCATGTTGGCTAAAAAGGCTTAATAACATAAATCATTCTAAATCATGATTTCAGCAACATAAGGTGCAAAGAATTGCGCTATCAGTGCAACTAAAACTGTCATATCTGTACTTATGAGATGCCCAGGTGGCTAAGGTACAGGAGAGATCTCCTAATAGAGCAAATTTGTTCGAAATAGTGTAAAAACAAGGTTTATTTTTCAACTACTTTTCAAACAATTTACAGAAAATATATGGTGATTGTAATACATTGGTGACTAAAATAGACATCATCGTTATCGGAGATTCAGATCTAATTGCGGAAAACGTAAAATGATTACATGAAAGATACGCTGATAGGAAGAACATTGAACATAGTATGATTAGGCAATAAGATTATATGTGTTACGCAAGTACTAGCAAAAGCGAAAATAAGACCTATTTAGAAAAAAGTGACACACAGATAGTTTGACTAAATAACTGAAGATCTTCATAGTAAAGCTAACAAATGATCAAAAGATATAGATGACAGATTGTAAGCAAGCAACAAATGCAAATCGTAAGATGGTTTGCTCAGAAGCATTGCTATGAACTTAGCTTACTCCTGCAAGTTCAAAGTGCGGACAGGAATTGTGTAGTGGTACTGTCTAAGATAATGCTTTAGTTTTGGCGGTAGGCGCAAACTTGAAACGCCATTGTATGTTGTTCGACTGACAATTACACCTCGACAAAGCTCCTGAAGATGCGCTTGATTACAAACGAAGAGCTTTCAATAGACTGAGAAACTCGCCTGTAGTGTAAACACATGCCTGCGCGATAGCGGATACGTTAGCTGAGGCTCGAAGAACAGGCATCTGCAAAGAAAATGCTGAGAGTTACATACCAACAGATATGATAGCAGAACTTATGATGAGCGGGTATGCCCTACAAAAATCAACCGTAGCAATTTTTGTTCCCAAAAATATTCTTATATATAAAGCTGAATCTGAGTATGTCTCTCTGTCTGTACGCAGTGCGGAAAAGAAATTTTCATTTCTAAACCGATTTGGACCAAACTTGGCACACATACACTTCGGGGCGGGGAGCGTGTCATAGGCTACTTTTCGTCATCGATCGATATCGATGCTATTGATTTTTTGTAGAGTTTGAGCTAAAGGGCTGGGAATTGGCACGGGGAGGGGGGTAATCGAGCATGCTGATTGCGAATACAATATTAGTTTTTGAAATTGTCCATTACCATTATCGATTTTATCGTTTTTTAAAATTTGAGCTGAAGGGCTGGGAGCTGGCACAGGGTGGTAAGTGGTCATGCTGATTTCGAAAACAACACAGGGAACGGGAAATGAAGCGTAGAAGTGGGCACAGGGATAGGGACGGGGCCTTTAACAGTGTTTTGACAGGGCCGAGCGGAGCCGGGTAAACAAGCTAGTATGAAATAATATGTGCAGTATGTCATATCAGAACTTAACAAACCTAGCCGGATCCTTGTATTTTTCAATCAGTTCCGTGATTGTGGGTGCAGAGTAAACGCTTTCATCATGTATGTCAAAGCTGAACCTGTGGTTTCCCTGTAAAACATATATTGACGCCCAATATCAACGAAGAACCCAAATACTGCTGATACATAGCCAGATGATTTCGCGTCTGCAGCATGATACGATTCCAAAAAAAATCGAAAACAAAAGATAAACATTACTACACAAAGTTGATTATATTTCTTGTTTAAAAAACTTTTTATGCAGAAACTCAGATCCCCAATCAACTGAAAAACAAGGAATACACAGAAACCTAACAATTTCAAATAACCTTAGTTTATAATCGTGTTCTACGTTACACTTCAGATGTGCTCCGAAGTACTCCTCTACTTTTATAGACATCAAAAAATCCAGATGTTCATGAATGCAAAAAAATGCAAAATCAAAAAAGTCAAAGAAGCATTAGATGCGTGTCTCCATGAATAAAATCAATAAAAAAAATAGCAAAAAAAGTCAAGCAGTACTAACCTGTTCGATTCTTGCATGCAAAGTCCTCTGATAACGTCGAAATGAGACAGAGAAGAGATATTCAGTTTGGGCACTGTCACGAAGAAGAAACGTGCCTGAGCAGCTTCAATTACTTAATCATACGGAAATGTCAATTTATAAGACCTTATGCATGATCATACAAAGCGCTAAATGGTTTATAAAGCAATCTATATAGAAAGTCACGGCTCTTCCAGAAAATTATACAGCTCAAGGCAGAATTCAAAAAACATGAAACAAAATTTGTTTTTTCGAATCACCTTCAGGTTTGCCATCTAACAACTCTTCAGCTTTGAAACGATCCATCACTCCCCAGTAATAGCTTGAGTTGAGAATGCGATCAATGTCCGGAACGAGATGGTGAGAGTACTCCACAATGCGATGGACTGCTGGAGCTTCATCATTAAGAACTAAAAAGCGTCAAGATCCGACTCTATCGTAAAAGAATCGGAACAAAAAAGCACAACTTACGCATGCGCCTCGACACAGTAGGTCCTGCCAGCTGATTAGCGGCTTCACCCACTATCGCAAGCCTCTGCCTCAGGACTTCGGCAACAGAGCTGCTCCAATGTCTTCCCACATGTTCAGGCACATCTTCATCATCCGTGTCCGAATTACTCATGGTCGGTGAAAAGCAAGGGCAGAATGGAGAGGCGCGTGATCTTACGAAACCAGCGAATAAAAAAGAAACAAGCAAGGTATGGGAGTGATACCTGTTTCTACGTAGTGCAGAAGTAGATGGTGTCCTAGCGCTCCCATTCTGCGCTGAGTGAGAATGTTCACCCATGAGGGTCTCTTAAAGGGGAACCATTAAACAATTCAATGAACTGGATGAATTGAAGAAAAAAGTGAAAGGAGCTCTTTACAAAACGATGAGAGGTAAGTGAAACAGGGCAAGCTAAAAACACACCTAAAGATAAAAATGATAGACATTCACTTCAAACAATTTTTCAAAAAACTCTAAGTTGACAATCAGAAAAAATTTCGTTAACCTCATCACATAAATATAGTGACTGGAAAGATATATCGTTTTGTCTATTCTCAGATCCATGACATCACTTAGACTGTCTTCAGATGTAGTATAGGAATGGAAAGAGAAAGGTATCGCGTTTGGCGATGCTTTGTGAGGCACCCGTGATAACAAGACGGACGCAGATAACATAGCGGTTCAGCAACCAAGCAAAAACAACGGTTAAAGATGAGCATATTTTGCAGCTAGCAAATTACCTGGATTTGAGGCTGCCTCAAAGATTGCTGAAGGATCGCCTGCTGGATGATTCAAAGCGAGAGAATCATCTTCTCTTCGGAGTCTCTGTTGTTGATGATCAGCTTGCTCAGCTCTGAAAATCTTTAGATAAAAAGGTGATTATCAGTCAGCTGAGATACATCATCGGCAACATAAACAGCGAAAAGGCTAAAGTCAACAGTGGAAAGAAGAAGTGGCTTACCCAGATGTGTAAGGATACATCACGAGGACAGGTAGGCGTTGTTGCAAAGAAGATAAGAATGAACTCAGCGTTGCTTCTAAAATGAAATTTTGGAAGGTATATAGCCATGAATTGGTGTATGATGAACAAGGGATCAGCAGCTCTGATTTTCGCCAAACGCAGATTAATATTTATCCTTCCCAAATAAAAATTGATAGAGTTCCGATAGAAACAGAGCACTTCCCGATTCCTGAAAGCTGTAAACAAGCTTTTTAAGTACAACTTTGAATTACAATGTTAGAATGGTCTTCAGTATTCGCAACTGTGTAAAATCTCATGTTAGATGCATGACGTGAGATGAAAACTACTTCAAGCTTCCCTCAGCCGCGTCCCCGGCCATCAAACGATGTCGCGCAGACAAATGGTGAAAAATTTTCCATACCAGCTCTTTAGCAAGTACGACTAGCTTACATTCAGAACATCTTTGTCATACGTCCTTCCCCTATCATTACAGAAAAAAGTTTTCGTTCCGCGAGATGGCAAAAATCGCCATCTGACCTAGAGCCCGCATAGCGCTCATGGTCGCAGTCGCTCTCATATATCGCCAGATTTGTACAGAACCACCGACACCAAATGCATAGGCGCATAGCTTTTGTGAGTTATGTAAACATGTGAAGTTCTGCCTGCAGAAAGTAACCCTAGGAAAAATTATGAAAAATCGCAGCAATGCACATCGCACGGCCACCGAAAACTTGGGGTAGCTGCTTTGCAATAAAAAGCTTACAGTTAATCAAAAACTATCAGAAAATCACAACTAATCACATGTTACTCTTCTAGTGGATCATGGAAGCCAATTAATATCTAACAGCAAGTAATTTAAGCTACAAGATCCCATTTATGCTGAATCCTATGCATTACAAAAGAGAGGAAAAAACTAACTCTCTCGCGGAGCTGGACTCGATCCGTTAGGGTAGTGTAGATCATGTTGCCCACTATGAGAAGGATCAGCGAGAGCGATATGAAGATTACTATTCCCGCTGCAGTTCTGATCACGATTGCTCCATAGTCTGGACCTTTCTGAAAGATAGTCGTGTCAAATGTTGTACTATTTGCTATTCCTGGATTTCGTCATGTAGACACATAGCCTCATTGGTTATAACAGATTCGCACCATTTTTCCCAACAACTTTAGCAGGAAAACTCGCTTTATCGGATAAAATTTCGGTGTTCTATATGAGTCCATCTATAGAAAATTGCTAACGATATGAGTAAGGTTGCATATGCGAATTATTACAGCAAATTACAATCGCTGGGATCGGTGTCATCGATATTCTGAGCAGAACAGCTAAAATTACATCAATATGCGCCCGTCGCAGACATGCAACATGCAGACGAAAGCTCCAATGAATCGTAGCGAAAGAATGACCTTTCCTGACTAAGCCAGGAAAGGTGACTGTTTAGCCAATATGCCAGGCACGAGCAACACATGCTTTAATGAATAAAGAGGGATTTCCTGCGGCAGCTCAACAGTCTTGCAGATTCAAAACATTGATTCATAAAATTTGGAGTAGTCACTCTCATTTCATGAGGCCCTCGGCATACATAATGCGACTGCAGTCGCGACGCGATTTGGCAACACTCCAATCGTTCATAACTCATCGTAAGGGGTTTTTGAATGGAGGGGAGGATAGGGCATCCCGGACAGAACCTGTGACCGCCACTGCTCAATAGATACTTATGGCAATGAGGTGAGAGAGACAAACGCATGACATAGGAGAAGTATTGTCTCTAGAATCCGAAAACGCAAGATGATCTCTGAACTCGATGAAACTTCTGTGGGAATTACTAACTGGCATACCCGGCTGCCTGGCCCTGTCAACACTGATAGAATTCACTATGCCTCATTTCCATACATTATTTCCCTGTCCTATGTTTTCGTAATTAGCATGCTCACTTATCTGCCAACTCTAAACCCCGTAGCTCCAAGTTTGCCAAAAATCGATACTGATCGATAATGAAAAGTAGCCTACGACGCCCGCCTCACTCCGAAGTATAAGTGTACAAAGTGTGGCCCTGATCGGTTCAAAAATAAATCTATTCGCACATACGTACAGATAGACAGACAAACAGACATTCAGCTCTATGTAATATAACATGTGACATGCAGTCTTGAAAATGGTAATTGATTTGCACGTAGAGGAGTTCATTGCAGGATTCTGATGGGTTATGTATGGGATTTTAATTCAACCCAAGTTGTCTACAATGAGATAAATTGACTTTGATATTTAACAAGCTGTCAACACCCTAGCAAACTCAGAGAGAATTCCGAGATTTACCGCAATCTCCAATAAGCCCTAGCACACAAAACAGTATGTCACACATCATTTGCAAAATTTTTACTGAAGCTGTGCTTTTTCTACAAGGTGGTAGGCCAAAAAAGCTCACCTCGAGCATGATTAGCAACTTCCGATTCGCCAGACGAACCTGCTACACTGGAAAAAGGTTCGGATCCTTCAACACGACCGCTAGAACTACTGCAACATCCAGTCTCCTCTAACATGCCATTGTTTTCTGGAAACAATTAGTGAGAGATGAATGGGGTGAAACCGAAGAGAGGCTAGTATCGAACATCTCTGAAAAAAGCAATATGGAAAGACGACTGACAGATCAATGGTCTGACACACTTTCAACGAAGATAATCTAGTACGATCAATGTTTATAAATGGCTGGAAGATACTACCGTAAGAGACTACAGCAAGACTAAGAACAAATTACAGATTGAGGGCAACTGTTGCTAGCGCTGGTTGTGGTAAAACAAAAAGGACTGCCTGCTGAAGGATAGGGAGCCGACAGCAGGGTTAAAAACTGGACGGAAATCGATCGGCATTTAGTGAAGGGTGCGCGAGCGGCGATACTCCGTAGAGCAGGCTATTCAATGCTCCACGGAGAAGCACCACGCCAAGATGTGACAAAGGGATCGGCCATACTATTCCTGCTATTCCTACGACTCCTGCGATTCCTGTGAGTCCCGCACAGTTTAGACGCCGCTTAAATGAGCGCGTGTTGCGTAAAACAACACGTAACACGCAACACGCGCTCATTTAAGCGGCGTATAAACTGTGCGGGACTCACAGGAATCGCAGGAATCGCAGGAGTCGTAGGAATAGCAGGAATAGTATGGCCGATCCCAAACAGTCTCGGCTTCTCCAGTTTTTCAACTTCTCGGGGCCTTCTCGCAATGAGGAATTCATATCAGGACTTTTCAGCGCATAAAAAAACTGAAAATCAGCATTTTGGTCCGCATTCAGTAAAGATGCGCAGGGAAGTCTTCGGCGCCCCGCCTCCCTCGTTACGGGTCCCGCCCACCCACACATAATCTACAGCGAATGTGGACCATGCGCTGAAAACTTAGATATAGGTTTCTTATGACAAGAAGGCTCCGAAAAGGTGAAAAACTGGAAAACGAAGTCCTGCCGAAACAATGCCTCTGGGAACTCTTCGCCCCCTCTAGTGGTACACTTTACCTTCTCTTTCCTTCACTTTATTTTCAACTAGCTGGCTTACCCGGCTCCGCCGTATGTTCCGAATAGAAAATTCCATTTCTCAACCGATCCGGACCATACTTGGCACACATACACTTCGGGCCTCGGCGGGTGTCATAGGCTACTTTTCGTATCGATCGATGTCGATGTTATCGATTTTTTGCAAAATTTGAGCTAGGGGGCTGAAATTTGGCAGAGGGGTGTAATCGAGCATGCTGATTACGAATACAATAATAGTTTTCGAAACCGTGCATTACTTTTATCGATTTTATCGATTTTTTGCAAAATTTGAGCTAGGGGCTGGAATTTGGCAGAGGGGTGTAATCGAGCATGCTGATCACCCCCACGGGGATGATCAGCATGCTCGATTACCCCCCTGTGCCAAATCCCAGCCCCGTAGCTCAAACTTTGCAAAAAAAATCGATAAAATCGATAAAAGTAATGCACGATTTTAAAAACTAATATTGTATTCGGAATCTCCATGCTCACTTACCCCCCTGTGCCAACTCCCAGCCCCGTAGCTCAAATTTTGCAAAAAATCGATAAAATCGATATCGATCGATACGAAAAGTAGCCTATGACACCCGCTGGGGCCCGAAGTGTATGTGTGCCAAGTTTGGTCCCGATCGGTTCAGAAACGGAATTTTCTATTCGGAACATACGTACACACAGACAGACATACAGACATACGGGTGTAGGCCCTTTTGAACCCTTCGCGCGCGACGCTCGCCTCGCCGCGTGTGGCGCCGCTGGCAAAGCTAACAAGTCGCATTTACAATCAACGGGAAAATTCTTAGTTCGAAGTATGTAATATACCTGTGCCAAACCCTATCATGATGTTGGACACGAAAGATATACAAAATGAACGAGTATTAACTCGTTATGGCACTGGACATGTTGACCAATCAGAGGCGCGCTGTGATAGCGAGCGGTTCAAAAGGGCCGTTTCCCCCAAAAAACGGGTCTCATCGGCTGTATCGACACAGACAATGCAAAGGAACTTCCGGCGCAAACGGAGCTTCTAAGACTTCCGGGGAAACACTCCTACTGGAGCTGCCAGCTGGGGCAGGCTTACGTCACACGGCCTGCGCCACACGTACCAATAGAGGCGTCCGCCCCGGAAGTTTCAGCAGCTCGGTTTGCCCCTGAAGTTTTTTTGGAATGTCTGAGTAGCTACACTCTAGTCTTTGGATTGAAAATAAGATTCTACAAAATTGCCCTCCTATGATATGTGATCCAAGAAGTGGTGAATTTGGCAGAAGGTCGTGATCTTGCGACCTGGTTAGCATAAACAGACCACTTCGTGCGATAGGGCCTTGTCGTAGATGTGTGATGGTCAACTGTGAGCGGGCGATTGTCACAAATCAAGTCCAAATTTTGTACTGATTCCTGGTCAACCATGGGTTATTATTGAGTGGAAAACTGGGATGAGCTTGAGATCGGAAATGCAATTGCAATTTTTTTGAAAAGTCGTCCATAGACGTTGTCCTGCAGTTGTCCTGCATTTCACAATAATCGTAATTGCTTGGAGAGCAAGCGTTTCACTGCGGTAAAAAGACTGTTGGTTAACATGAGATTTTCAAAGCTTACAAACATTTTTGCTTTTTCGTGAGTCAGAATCTTATGAAAACGAATCTAAATGACTCTCTGGTTAAGAAGAAAGTTGTGTTCTGGTGCCTTCTAGTAAGCGGAACTCCTGAAAGTCACTCTCTCTTTTCGAGAAACTCATTTTGCATAGATTTGCGATGCATTCTTCGAGGATATAAAAGACTCAAATCCTTAAGCTTATACGGGGATCGATTTCGAGGAAAGAGAGATTTTCCCCAAACTTCTTTTTGGAATACTTTCAAAAATCAGGGTCTATGACATCGAATTTGATTGAAAGGATTCTGAACAAATAGTAAATTGACCTTATACCTTGATGGTACTTTGGCAGACTACATTGCAAGCAAGATTATAGAAGAAGTTGCCCCGAAGAGGGTATATACGTAGTTGTAAGTACAACGTTGCACTCACCTTCGTCATTTCCCCCACAGTATAGCGGGCGGAGCTTTGCCGACGTCTGCCAACGTCTAGGGCTTATCAAATCGAGTGTCGTTTGCACCAGCATCTCCATCTTCGCACTGAACTCTGCGTCTCTTCTGCGGCACATGTTCCCTAATCACTTCCAATCGATTGATCCACCTTTCCCATGCTCGCCCTGGAAAAGGTGGAGCTGCTTAGAGAGCAGCCCCGCGGAAAAGACGCAGAGCCCAGCGCGAAGATGGAGATGCTGGTGCAAACGACACTCAATTTGATAAACCCTATATGCGTGGCAGTTTTTGGCAGCTAGAGAGTACAAAAATCAATGCTTTACAGTGGAGGTTTAACAAGTTTTTCAACGTGTCCAAATGTCTGCAGGGCCACGCCCGCTATACGCATGGGAAACGCCTATACCTGCTTCATTCAAAAAAGCGAGGATTTCGTCCAATAGTATTAGGGTGTCCCATGATGTATTTTACCGTATTTATTCTCGAGAACTGGGGCACCCGCAAAGGATAATCAAATGGTCGTACTTCTGTATGTATAGTCGTCCTCCCCCCACTAGACACCCAGTGGACGAATTCGAATTTGAACTAGAGCACGCCGGTTGCGGCAGAGCGCGGCACCGTCAAATTCATTTCAAGCTCCTGCAGTGTTCTTTTGTATTTCTTGTCGTTGCATGGTAATTCATTTATCTCAATGGCGTTTGTAATCAGAATTGACGAGTTTGTTGTTGTTTAGCGATGTTTCATACCTTATGCTTCTCTCTAGCTCTATTTCCAAATAAAGTTGAAAAAACAGCACGAAACATTCCTTAAAAGCAATACAATCTCAATCTCAACTAAGAAGACTGTTAGCATTCAAAAAATTCCATAAAACGTCGGAGAAACGCAAAGAAAAACTTCGAGTTCGAATGAAAAGCCGAATGTGCCGCGCTCTGCCGCAACCAGAATGCTCCAGTTCAAATTTGAAATCGTCCACTGGGTGTCTAGTGGGGGGAGGGCGACTATATGAGCTGTATGATCGAGTGCGTGGGAGGAAGTCAGAACTTCTAGAGGAGGAGTATGCCATTTTACTCCAATCATTTTTTCTTTATTTCTAGCCATGGAAAGTATAATACAATTGAATGTACGGTTTTAAAGGCAGTGTCCGGGCAAAAACTCGATTTTGAGATTTTGTGCTTACTTGGGCCTATTCGCTACGCTGAATCCGAAAATGTACATTATAGAGCGCGAAAATGGCGAAAAACGGCTCTAACACAGGAGGGAAATGAGCAGGTGGGCGGGGTCCTCCCCACTGCGAACTCACGTTCCCGGCTTCCGGAGCGACCTTCTCGCTTCCGGTTTCAAGTCAATCATTCGCACTTGGCCGGTAGCGAGGTTAGAACGGCCAGCGGAATCAAGAAAATCGCTCCGGGAGCTGGGAGTGTGAAATTGCATTGGGGAAAGCCCCGCCCACCTGCTGATTTCCCTCCTGTGTTAGAGCCCTTTTTCGCCGTTTTCGCGCTTTCCAATGTGGATTTTCGGATTCAGCATGGCGAATAGGCCCGTATAAGCACAAAATCTCAAGCATAAGCATATGCTAGGTCAAATAGAAAATTTTTAGGTTTTTTGCGGCGGGGATACGGTTTTTGACGGTAAAATTGGTTTTTGACTGCTATGGATTTCAGCTCAAAATTTCACGTGGAATACTTCTCGGCAAACTCGTGATAGCCGTTTTTGCGGAGCTTGATTTGCTCCATCGAATGATTACTTTTGTGACATCAGAAGGAAAAACACAAAAAACGACAGCCGTAGTAAAAACGGCAAAAAATCATGGACGGTTATTTTAGAGGACCTTAGAAAAAAATGGTCGTGTGATGTTAAAGTTAGTTTTCTGTTATCCATAGCTTATATCGAGAACAAGCGTAAGTTGACATTAGCAGTTGACACAAGCCTGAGATGATCTCACTCATTGTCAGCTGAGTTGTTCCCAGCATCGTACTCTCAGTTTCGTTTCCGCAATTGCAGCGACCAACA